GCCAGGGAGCTGGCAGCTTTCCAGTCACCATCTAAAAGAGCATCCTTTACAACTGACGCCCATCGGGACTGCAATGGATTTTTTAAAACTGCTGGCAATGCCAATTGCTGGCCAGTGGAAGGTTCCACTGCCTGAGCCTGACGATTCGAAAGGGTGGCAAGGCGGGCTATTTTTTTCTGCAACATATTTGGTCTTTGTATCTTGTTCTGTGATCGTGTGTCCCTGCCGCGATTGACAACCGGAAGGTCTGGCTCTGAGTCGTCAGAATCTGAACTCGGTGGGGGTGGGCTGCGCAGCGCTACCGTGGTGGGATGGGAACTGGCGTTTTCGGGGCTCTGCTCTGGTGTTGTTTGGGTGGCTGCTTCTGCCACTCCGCTAGCATTGGGGTGCCCAGCCCCTCCAAACCGCGCCAGGCTGCTGGCCGCGGCCGCCGCCGCCGGCGGGTGCCGGCGAGCCGCTCCTCTGCGCATGCACGCAGCCGCGGCAGCCGCCGCCGCCGCCGCTGCGGGGGGGCGAGGGGCCAGCGCCGCCCCGCTCCCGTCTCCGCCCTGGTCTCTGCCTTGATCTCCGCCCCCGAGTTCCTCCTCCTGACTCAGCCCTGTTTCGTCACCAACTCCGCCTGCCTCCTCAGGTGTCTCCCCGCCTCCCAAGGGACCCGGGAGGGTCACTTCCTGGTCTGCCTCACTCCGCGGAGCCGCTGAGCTGTTAACATCCGCTGCTCGGGAGCAGACTTCCGTTCCGGGCGCGGCCGCAACCCCGCTCCGTCTCGCGCCGGCCGGCCCCGCGCTGCCCAGCTCCGTGCCGCCCTCCAAACGAGCGACAACATCTCTGACAGAGGGGCTGACTGGGGCTTTCTGCCCGCGCACTGGCCGCATATTACAAACATTAAAGAATTTTTCAACCCGCGATGGCTTTCGCGTTTCTATTTGTTCTGCTGTAGACTGTTCGAATGCTCGAATGGCAGCTTCCGCTGCCTCTTTCTCCGCGGCCATGCTTTGTAAGGTATGTGAAACTTTCTTCCAAACACCTCCAAGCTCTAATAGTGTTTTCTTGTCCTTTTTGCCCTCTATCACTGCATCCCAGAGCAGCTGGCCCAGCTCTCGCCACTCGGTTTCACTAAAAAGCAGGGAAGGTTTTTGCAGCTTGCCTTTGCTTCTTGCCCAAATGACCAACTGTTCTAAATCGGCTTCTTTAACTTTTTCAGCTCTCTTTGAGAGAATATGAAAGAGCAGCCGCACTGAAGCCTGTAAATCTCCATCCATGGTGAACTTTCACCCTCTCTTTCTGCACGCGGCTTACCTCAGTCTCCGCGGGTTGCTTCGCTCTCGCTTTTCTTCGGCAAGGCGGCACCCCCGCTCCAGCTCTCCGGCCCCGGCCACGTCCACACCCGCCGTTCAGGTACCTTGTGAACACCGAGGTCTTCCCACTGCTCCAACGGACTCTCGCAAGCAAACAACAATGCGAAGAGTCTTTTTCCTCCCGTTGGGAAACGGCCCAATTCGGAGTTTGGAGACTTCTGCTCCGTTCCACCTGATCCCCGTTCACAAAAAGTGAATTTGGGATCCCGGTCCCGTCACCATGAGGCGATTTGGACCTAAATTCCTGTCGCGCGACTCAAACCTGACTGCCCGTTACTCTAAAAGTAATTTGGCAGCCTTCTCGGAGCCTCCTGAGTCCCTGTGCGGGCGCCACTTAAAGCCAGGGAATCTCAGAAAAACGGAAAGCTGGACAAGACAAACGCAGGTTCAAACCAATGTGGTTCATCAAGCGTTTTCCGTTTATTCAAAATCAGACGGTAGTTTATATAAGCTTCTACATAGTTTACAAAAACAAAGACACTCTGATTGGTAGGCTAACATTGTTTACCTTTTCCTTAAAACGGCCTGCACTGTACACCATAAAACCTATACTAGTTCACACCCCGTGGTCCCTACAGTACCTTAAGACTATTTTCTACCTGCGCCACAACCCTGAATTTCTAACTGCGTCAGAGGCTTTGAGGGCCCCACCAGGCCTCAATCTGAGGCCTAGCCTGGAGTAGCTCAACTTTCACAATTCATGCCCTCTTTCTCTCAAAAATACTGTAACAACTCTCCATCATAGAATGGGTCTTCCTAAGTCACCATCGGTCCAAGAGAATGACAAGGCCACAGGAGTTAGTAGCGGAACTGATCCGCAAAGCAAGAGCTCGGATCAGAGAGTTAGCTGGATGTGACTTTGAATGCATTCACATTCCCATCAAATTGGAATCAGGCCAATTCACCAAGGCCATGCTAGAACACCTGTTACAGGAAAATGAATCCCTGCAGTTCTCTCTAGACAGCTACACAGGCAAAATTTCAGTTTTGAGACCAGCCCACAAAATGTTTGAATCAGAAATTCAATTTGCATTGTCCATCAAACAAATTCAGAGCAAAAAGCCACTCAAAGCCTTGACAGTTTTTACAGACGCATCCGGGAGTTCTCACAAGTCTGTGATAACTTGGAAAAACCCCCAGACGCAGCAGTGGGAGACAGACATTGTGGAGGTGGAAGGCTCCCCTCAAATAGCTGAGTTGGCTGCCGTCGTCAGGGCCTTTTAGCGATTCTCTGAACATTTTAATTTGGTAACCAATTCGGCATATGTAGCTGGTGTAGTGTCTAGAGCGCAGGATGCTCTCCTGCAGGGTGTGTCCAACGAAGCCCTGCACAAGTTGCTCTCGAAACTGATTAAGCTAGTGTCCCACCGAGAGCAACCCTTTTACGTGATGCATATCAGGTCACATACCAACTTACCAGGGTTTTTGGCCGAGGGCAATCGGCGTGCCGATTCTCTCGCTGCCGCCCCGGCTCAGGTAGCACCGCTCCCAGATAAGTTCCAGCAGGGTAAGATCAGCCACCAATTTTACCACCAGAATGCGCCCGGGCTGGTCCGGCAGTTCCACCTTACCCGTGACCAAGCCAGAGCCATTGTGGCCACCTGCCCGTCCTGCAAGTCGCTCCCCCTACCATCGGTGAGCTCAAGGGCAAACCCTAGGGGTCTGAAGTCCTGCGAGGTATGGCAGATGGATGTTACTCATATCCATTCCTTTGGGAGGTTGAAGTACGTCCATGTCTCTGTAGACACTTTCTCTGGGGCAGTCTTTGCTTCTGCCCACGCAGGGGAGAAAGCCAAAGACATTGAAAAGCATTTGATACAGGCCTTCGCTATGCTGGGCATTACAAAATTTATAAAAACAGATAATGCCCCTGGGTACACATCCAAGGGATTTGCCAGCTTCCTGCAACAATGGGGAATAGAGCACAAAACTTGAATCACATATTCACCGACAGTTCAAGCCGCGGTAGAGCGGACTCATCAGAGTCTCAAACGCATGCTGAAACAACAGACACCAACTATGAAGGTTGAGTCCCCCCAAGTTCGGCTCGCTCGTGCCCTCTTTACACTAAACTTCCTGAATTGTTCTTTTGAAAACCTCAACCCACCAGTCACCAGGCACTTTAGCAACCACGACCTGAGCAAGGTCAGGGAAAAACCACCAGTGATCATCAAAAATCCAGAGACTTGGCAGCTGGAAGGGCCCCACGAGTTAGTCACCTGGGGACGGGGATACGCTTGCGTGTCCACGCCCTCAGGCCTGAGATGGGTCCCGTCCAAATTTGTCCGGCCATATGTCCCCAAACACCAGACTGACAAGAAAAAAGATCCTCAGGTGAAGCATGCAGCCCTCCGCAGACGGAGAAAGTCTCCCCCTTTCCTTTTTGATTCAACACCTTCTCTTTCAGAGCCTTCCCTTTCACCATACAGTTTCCTGGACTCACTCTTCCCTTTTGATTAAAACCTCCCCTCCCCAGAATGCTGATCAATGTTCCAGTTGTTTTTCAGATATAAGCCTCATCCCTCTCACAAGTGACTGGCTGAGGTCGCTTTGAAGGATGAAGTCTCACAGGTCAAATCCAATCCGTTTCAGAGACAGGACATATGTTGCTGTTAACATTCACTGTTCCTATTATAAGTTTTAGCAATGTTACAAGGTTTAAAGATCATCAATTCCACCGTACACATCGACCACGCAGTCTTCGCTGCCCCATCAGAGCTGACATCCGCTCAACGCAGACAGCCAGAAAAGAACCGAGCAGACATCGGGTTCAACGATGGGGAACAGGACTGTAAAACTTCCCATTTAAGTTATTTTCCGTTCTTTTCTTTTGAAAAACAGAAGAGGGAGTTGTGGAATTGTATTATTATATGTTTTATTATGTATAAGTTCATTCCATGTATCCCCCCGCGATCTGTTGCGACCCCCCGGGTTTTCCCATCTCCCCCCGTGGTTTGCCTTCCCGGGAAAGTGCCAAGTCACCGTGTTTACATCCCTCAGACCATCTGTCAGTCACGCGGCGTTTGGACCCCTGCACCCCACTGTCCCAGTCCCCCCGTGGCGTTATCTCATTGGCCGCCCCGGGTTTCCCCTGTTCGGTATTTAACCCGCGGTCTGGGGACGCCCCGCGCTTTTTTTCCCGCCTGGCCCCTGACTGCTGCTGCTGCCCGGCCCGCGGCTTTTTCTTCCGCCTGGCCCCTGACTGCCACAGCCGCTGCCGCTTGCATCCGCTCCGCAACCACTGCTGCTGCCCCAGGTGACCGCGGCCGCTCCGCGGTCGCTGCCGCTGCCGATCCCCCGCTGCCGCCGCGGCCGCTGTCGTCGCGGCTCCCGCGCGAGCCGGCCACAGCGCTGCGGCTCCGCACGCCGCCTCTCTTTTCTCGCGGCCAGCTTCGGAGCGCGCTGCCCCGCCCCCGAACCGGCAAGGCGGCACGGACAAACTCTAACTCAGCACGCTGTAGCCTTTTCGGTTTTTGCCTTCCCAAGCAAGCTGCAATAAATCGAGATTTTGCCCGCGGGGGAAAAAGTCTCTCTCCTTTTATTCGCCTTGGGACTCGCCTTGCTCCCAGACCCACGCAGCACCGGCTGACACCCGCGAGGGTTCGCCGGAAAACACGGAAGTTGCCAGTGCTCCCCCCCCCACGGAGCTAGCTGGGACAAAAGGGGGGACAAGAGAGCGTTAGGGCAGGAAAAAATCCCAGAATTGTAAGCTGTGTTGGTAGCCAGGGACCCTGATATTACTATCCTTGAACTAACCAGACAGACAGAAATAGGATGGAGACAGACAGAATAGTCTGGAGAACTAGTCTGGACACTGAGAAACCTAGTGAAGTTCAACAGGAGAGTGCAGGGTCCTGTACCTGGGAAGGAAAAACCTCAAGTACCAGCACAGGCTGACCTACTGGAGAGCAGCTCTGTGGAGAAGGACTTGGGGGTCCTGGTGTGTGACAAGCTGACCATGAGCTGGCAGCGCCTTTGTGGCCAGTGGTATCCTGGGGTGCATTGGGAAGAGTGTGGCCATCAGGTGGAGGGAGGTGGTCCTGACCCTCTTCTCAGCCCTGGTGAGGTCACATCAGGAGTACTGTGTCCACTTCTGAGTTCCTCAGCACAAGATAGACAAGGAGTTACTGGAGCAAGTCCAGCAGAGGCCACAAAGAAGAGTTGGGGTGTGGAGCATCTCTCATGTGAGGAGAGACTCAGGGAGCTGGGCCAGTTTAGTCTGCAGAAGACTGAGAGAACATCCCATTAATGTATATGAATATCCCAAAATCTGGTGCCAAGAGAATGTTCCACAACTCTTTTGGTGATGCCCAGGTGCATGATAAGGAACAATGGCCATAAATTAAAATACAAGGAGTTACATCTCAAACATGTGGGTGGCAAAACACTGGAACAGACTGCCCAGGGAGATCATGGAGTCACCCTCTCTGTAGACATTCAAAACCCACCTGCACACACTCCTGTGTAACCTGCCCTAGGTGGCCTTGCCTTGGCAGGGGTTTTGGGCAAGATGATCCCCAGAAGTCCATTCCAACCATAGCAATTCTTGATTCGATGAAATACGGCCTAGAATGACACAGCTGCATTAGAGTCTTGACAGTTAAGTCATACACTTTGCATTAATAATCTCCAGGTATCAAAGTCAATGTTGATTAATGCTACTCTTATGATTCGCAATTTTAAATGGAGAACAAACCAAGCTAAAAATGAAAAAAAAAACAAAACAAAAAACAAACAAACAAACAAAAAAACAACCCCCAAACCCCAGAAATCAGAGAAGTGCTTAAAAAAATCTCTACTTAAAATTAACTTATAATCACCCAAGCTAAGAGGACACTGAAGCAGGAATAGTCTTTATCTGACACCTTCCCAGTTTTTATATAACTTCATGATACATACAGGAGCAGTCCTGGAGAGTATGCCATCTCTGCAGAAATTTTGCTCTTTTCAAGCTAAATACAGATAGATATATTCAATTTCTCTTAAGGCACATAGAGATTTTTAACCTGCTCATGAGTAGATTTACTAAGTTGCATGAGAATGAACCTCTGGGGCACTACAGTAATATAATAGATTTTAGCTGTTTCGGTTGTGGTTTGGGGGGATGAGGGGGGTTGTGGGGTGGAAAAAAAATGCTGCTATGCAAAAGGTTTATGTCTATAAGAGACTAAAGGAAATCTACTGTCTGATAAGCAGATAACCTCTGGCAAATCTTATAAACTGTTCCTTTCTCAATTATTCCCCACTACATAGTGTTACTCATGGCCACCTATCTTTTCTGATCAAAAGAACAAGGCAAAATTACAAACCACAAGCTCATGCTCAGAGTTTACTTACCTCCTCTCCTCATACCACCATAGAATTTTCCAAATTGTGTATCAGAACAGCTGAATAGACATCTCTGGGGAGAATTCCATACTGAATTGTTTGTTGAGGTTTATTTTCATGTTTCCTCTTCCCTATGTACCAACTGGTAGAACCTATTAACAAAAGTTTTAGTATTGCAAAAATTAGCATATTGCAGTTCACCATAATGCTGCTTTCAAGCATGCCAGAAGTGAAGCTGGCATTAAAATAACTAAAGCCAGGTTTTACATGCAGATGTAAAAACCCAAATATTGGTATTTGGCTAAGGACTTTAATAAGGATTGTCCTTCAGAGACAGGTTATTTTGTCTTTGATCAGCTTCCTGTGCATAAACTCTTATTCCAAATGTGTTCATTACACTCCAAAAAATGGATTAACTTAATTCACAAAGAAAGGATATAACAAAGAAAGGATCCTGCAACAAGGTAGACAGACAATAAAATGAATCGAAAAATGAGAGGGAGAAAAAGGGAACAGAATTAACTGGGATCCAAAAGCAATTTAAAAATAGATCAGAGAGATTTTTCCGCAGAAATAGCAAGAGACAGGTGGAAAAAAATAAATGTAAAGTGAATAAGGAATATTATTGCTTCGGCAAAGAGGATAACCTCTGTGATTTCCTAGAAAAGTGACTTGATTTAGACAAAGGATTCACCCATGTGACATGAGGTGACAGTGACAGAACTTGTTTTGTAACAAAAGCCCTATTTCCTCATTTGTGGGAGACATTGCAGTCATCCTGACAGAGAGGTACATGTGAGGCATAAACAAACCTTTTACAGTAAACCGTGCAGTCAGGATTTGGCTGTTCTGAATTTTGCTATCAGGCCTTTAATTAGGTTTTCCACAGATAACTGGCAGCTGATCTGGGTGCTTGCTAGAGACCAGAAGGGCATTTGGGATGTACTTTCAGTGTGAAGTGTCACAGAACACTAAACACTTTCCCAAATCAGTTTCCAGACCTTTCTGCTGAGTATTCAAAAAAACTGTAATAATTTTAATTTAATGTCCTAGTAAATTAGGAAGGGTAAAAATTAGATGTCAGCTCACAAAATGAGCTGCTTCTAATATAAGTTTGTTGATATTTATGAAGCATTGGTTAATATTAGCGTTAGTGCCATAGAAAAGCCAATTAAAACTTCAATTTTTAATTTTTAAAAATTTGTAAAAAATTCAAAGCAAAATTTGTAAATATTACACTGCAAACAAGATTTGTAAATATTACACTGCAAGCAAAGTTAAAATGGGCAGGAAAATCCTCTATACAACTTAACCAATACACTGCAACTGTCCACAAAGTCAAGAAGGAGAAACTAACAGTAAAGATTTATATTTTAATTATTTCTTCAGCATTTAGGCCTCAGGATGGATTCCAGATACACAGAGCATAAATTAAAAGAAATTTCTAATCTCACTCTTGATTTATACAAACTTTTTCAGAAGGTGCTTTCACTTATATAATTCTGCAAGGAAAAAAAAAATTTTCACTTCTATTCTCCCCTTGACTAATATATAATTTCTTATTCTTTGCTTTTCTTCACTAGAAATTGCATTTAATTCCCCTTCTCTTTTCAACAGCCATATTAAGAGTAGAAGTATCCCAAAAGCTCATATGCTGTGGTACTTAAAAAACAAACAAACAAAAACCCAAAAGCACTCACCAAAACCAAAATTATTTCTCATTTGAAAGACTGAAACAGCTACAAAACATAAAATGTAAAATCCAGTTGTCATTCTTGTTCCAAGAACATAAATGATCAAGAGTTTGTAGCTGTAGGACTACCCATTATAGTCACTTAGTTTTTTTCTACCCAATGAAATGATCATTACAATATCATTTCTCAGAGGCAACAAGAATTAAGGCACACCATCAGCAGAGTTCACTTCTGCTGACTTTACATAGCTACTCATAGCTAAAGAATAATGACATAACTCCTAGGTATCACTCAGCCACCACATTTCCGTTCCACAGTAAAACTCTGTTTTAGCCACTAGATTATTTAGCAGCCTTCAGAAAATAAGTGCAAAGGGCAGCAATCCAGTGAAAAGTATCTGTGCTATTAGCAACGCATTCTGACTCTTTTGCCCAATATTAATTCCTAGGCTTCCGCATACAATTGTGCAGTTAAGTACAATTAACTGCACAGTTCAGTCACACATTAGTTACATCCGTAACAATTTTATCTTATCAAGAATTACACACAAAAATTCACTCTAAACCCGTAACTTCTTTCCCTGTGCCCTGATTTCAGCTGGGATGGAATTAATTTTCTTTCTAGTTGCTGGTACAGAACTGTGATTTGGATTTGATATGAGAATAATATTGATAACACACTGATGATTCAGATGTTGTGAGCGGTGCTTACCCTAAGTGAAGGATTTTCAGTTTCCCTTGCTTTGCCAGTGAGCAGGTGCACAAGATGCCAGGAGGGAACATGGCCAGGACAGCCAACCCAAAGTGCTCAAAAGGATGTTCCACACCAAAGATCATTCCCAGTATATAAACTGGAGTGTTGGCCAAGAGGGATCAATCACTCCTTAGGGACAGGCTGGGCATCAATCATTGGGTGGTGAGCAATGGTTTTGTGCATCATTCATCTTTTTTAAGGTTTTATTACTTCCTCTTTCTGTTATCTCTCTTTTCATTGTAATTACACTGCTGCTGTTGCTGCTGTTAGTAGTAGTATTTATTTTATTGCAACTATTAAACTGTGTTTATCTCAACCCATGGGTGTTACCTGGTTCTAATTTGATTCTACTACACATACAACTCTCCAGGGGGGAGGGGAGTGAGCAAATGTCTGCATGGTACTTATTTAGTTTCTTAATTTCCCCATTCATTCTTTCTACCCTCCCCGAACTCTGTGGATGCCAGGGAGTATGTTGTTCCCATCTTATGCCCAGAGCTTCTGCTAGCATCTGTGTTATTTTTGAAGTAAAATGGGGGCCTTTATCAGAGTCTATCGTCTCTGGGACCCCATATCTAGGTATTACTTCTTCCAGCAAGGCTTTTGTTACTGTCCGAGCTGTCTCCCTGGCAGTGGGGATTGCTTCCACATAATGTGTTAAATGATCCACTATAACCAAAAGATATTTTAGTCTCCCTACCTTGGGGAGCTCAGTAAAGTCTACTTGCAGATTTGAAAAGGGCTTCTTTGCCACTGGCCTCCCACCCAGGGGCAGTTTCCTTAGATTTTTCCTGTTTACCCGTAGACAGGTTGGACAACTCCTAGTAATCCCTTTCGCTAAGTCATGTAGGCCCACCGTCATATAATGGGTGGCAAAGTGATCCACCAGTCCTTGAGCGCCCCAATGTGTTCTCTGGTGTAATTTACTGAGCATCCGCTGGGCTATGGCTCTAGGTAGAACTTCCCTCCCATCCTTTAACAGCCATTTCCCTGATTCCTCTTTTATTCCTAATTTTGTAAGCTTCTCCTGTTCTTCTATTGTAAATATCAGCTTATCCTGGGTAGTCGACTCAGGGTCCTTTGGGGTATCCACAAGGTCCTTCCTAACTCCCTCACTTAAAGTTAGTGTTTTAATAATTGCAGCTTTCTTTGCCTCATAATCTGCCGCATTGTTACCCCTACTCCGGTAATCCATTCCCCGTTGATGCCCTTTTAAATGGACCACCGCTATCCTTGTAGGGCCTCTCAAAGCCCTCAGGAGGGCTACTATTAGCTTCTGATGTATTAAGTCCCTTCCCTGTGAGTTCACGAGGCCCCTTTCTTCCCATAATTTCCCAAAAGTGTGTACCACCCCGTACCCATATTTAGAATCTGTATAGATGGTCCCCTCTTTTCCTTCTAATAGCTCCAAGGCTCTTAGGATAGTGTATATCTCGCAGGTTTGGGCTGACCATGTTTTGTCTAGGGCTCCAGATTCGATTACTTCTAGGTCAGGCCCCCCCACTATGGCATATCCTGATCTTCTTTGACCCTCGACTACTCTGGATGATCCATCAACAAACAATTTCTCTCCAGTTTCTAATTCTTCTTCTTCTAGGTCAGGTCTAATTTTGGTTTGTTCTTCTATAGTGATTACACAGTCGTGCATCAGTGATTCAGTTTTGGGCTCTCCGAAAAGGAAGGAGGCTGGATTTTGCAGAGTGGTGGTTTCTAAGGTAAAATTAGGGGTTTCTAATAAAATCCCTTCATATTTCAGGAGCCTGGCATCAGATATCCATTTATCTGCTTTCTGTTGCATCACACTCCGTATGTTATGTGGAGTTAATACTTTTAAAGTAGCATTAAAAGTGATTTTCCGTGACTCTTCTACTAGCGCTGCACACCCTGCAATTATTTGCAGACAGCTAGGCCATCCCCTACTCACGGGGTCTAAGATTTTAGATAGATAGGCAATAGGTTTCTTTTTCCCTGCCCAATCCTGAGTAAGTACTCCGTACGTTACCCCATCTGTGGTATTAACGAATAAAAAGAAGGGTCTTTTTAGGTCCGGGAGGCTCAAGACTGGAGCGTGGACCAAAGTCTCTTTTAATTCTTGAAATTTAGATCTTTCTTCTTCTGTCCACTTAAGGTGACCATCCTGGGTAAGTTTGTGATATAAAAATCTTGCTTTCCCACTATAGTTTTCAATCCACTGTCTACAATATCCTGTAAGTCCTAATACTTGACGAATTTGTCGTTTATTTTGTGGTAGAGGGAGAGACAGAATTGCTTGCACCCGGTCTGGGTCAATCCTCTTTTCTCCCTTTTTCAAATAATGTCCCAGGTATTTAACTTCCTCTTCTACAAATTGTAACTTCGCTTTGGAGACTTTTAACCCCTTTGATCCTAAGTAATTTAATAACTTGATACTCTCCTCCCGGACTTTGTCTTCTTCGTTCCCTGCTATTAACAAGTCATCCACATATTGAATTAGTTTCACCTCTGAGGCTGTCTTATAATCTTGTAAAACTTGTTCTAGGGCTTGCCCGAATAAATTGGGGGATTCGGTGAACCCTTGGGGTAACACAGTCCACCGAAGTTGCTGCCGCCTTCCTGTATCGGGGTCTTCCCACTCGAAGGCAAAATAATCTCGACTAGACTCGTCTAGAGGGCAAGCCCAAAAAGCATCTTTCAGATCTATAACACTATACCAGTCGTTCTCAGGTCCCAGTTTGCTTAAAAGAGTATAGGGGTTTGCCACCACTGGGAACCGAGCTACGGTTCTCTTATTGATTTCCCTAAGGTCATGCACCAATCGGTAGGATCCATCTGCCTTTTTTACCGGGAGTATAGGGGTGTTAAAAGGCGACATACATGGTTCTAGCAGTCCTTTGTTTAACAGCCTTTCAACTTCAGGTTTTAACCCTTTCCTCCCTTCTAGTGAAATTGGATACTGTTTTATTCTTACCGGGACCTCGGGATTCCTGATTTTTACTGTAAATGGGGTTATATTTAATTTGCCCACGGTCCCTGGATTATACCATACTTCAGGGTTTATTTTCTCTTCGTCTTCTAAACGGAGGGAACAGAGTCTAATCTTTAACTCCTTCTCTACCACCTCAATTTGAACTCCTCATTCAACAATCAAGTCTCTCCCTAACAAATTGTAGTCCGCTTCAGGAACTAATAGGAAATCACCCACCCCCATTTTAGTTCCCGATTCTACCATCACCCCTTTAATAATTTGTACTTCAAATGGTTCCCCCTTAGCCCCTATTACCGTGGCTGTCTGTTTCGATAAATTACAGCCCTGAGGCAGAAATTGAATAGTAGATCTTTCTGCCCCCGTATCGACCAAGAAATCTATTTCCTGGCCCTGGGGACCCACCTTCAATTTTATCAAGGGCTCTTTTTGATGTTTCCCGGTCCCCATAAAGTAGAGCCCCTGACTCCCCTATTCGATTTTGAACTCCTCCTCGTCCCTAAGCCTCCTTCTGCACTCCTTTTTGAAATGTCCCTTCTTACCACAATAATAACACACCCTTTCTCCTACCTTTCCCTTGTCACCCTCCCTATTCTGAGTGACTCTCTTCTGTCCTTCCTCCGCCCGCCTGCTTTCCCTCACCGCAGCAACCATCATTTTCACCTGCCTCTTCTGACTTTCATCCTCTCTTCGGACATAAACCTTCTGTGCCTCTCGCAATAATTCTGCTAAACCCCTGTCCTGCCAATCATCCATTTTCTGTATCTTTTTCCTAATATCATCCCAGGACTTAGAGACAAACTGGACTTTAAGAATTGCCTGTCCCATTGGGTCATTCGGGTTTAACCCCGAGTACAGCTGAAAACTTTTCCTTAACCTCTCTAACCATTCAGTGGGGGTTTCATCCTTCTTTTGTCTGTCATTAAATGCTTTATTTATATTCTGGCCCCTAGAAACGGACTCTTTTATGCCATCAATTAATATGGCCCGAAAGTCCCGCATGTTAGCTCTATGGGCCGGATCCTGGTTATTCCAATTGGGATTCTGGAGAGGCCATTTGGTATCGGCCGGGTGCTGGGCATGTGCGGGTTGGGCATCCCAGACCCGCATTCCGGCAGTTCTTATCATGTTCTTTTCCTCAACCGTGAATAAAATGTTAAGTATAGATTGTAATTCCTGCCAAGTATATATATTAGGACCTA